CTCTGTTTTTCCTCTGCTGAGTCACAAAGTGATTTACAATAGACAGGGAACTAAGATATGCCTCATGCATGCCTGCTAAGTCGCTTCCGTCGTGTCCGACTCTCTTTGACCCTATGGATCGTAGCCTGCCAGGCCCCTCTGTCCGTGGGGTTCTCCAGGCAAGAATACCAGAGTGGGTTGCCGCACCCTCCTCCAGGGGGTCTTTTGTTATTTACCATTAAAAGAGGACCAGGATCGTAAATGGGTTCATATCCAGCTCTCCGCGGACTAGCCATGAACTTCGGCAAGTTACTTCACCTCCATGCCTCTCTCATTTGTAAAATGGCAATAATGATAATTATTATTGAATTACAAAATGATTCATATGTAAATGTAAAATGAAATAATGATAACTATCCCCACAGCATTATTATGGGTATTGGATTAGTTTTTTTTTTTTCCCCGCTGCACCTGAGTCACATCTTGGGCTTCCCAGGTGGCGCTAGTGATAAAGAACCTACCAGGGCAGGAGACACGAGATGCAGGTTCCATCCCTGGCTCAGAAGATCCCTTGGAGGAGGGCACGGCACCCCACTCCAGTGCTCTTGCCTGGAAAACCCCATGGACGGAGGAGCCTGGTGGGCTGCAGTCCATGGGGTCTCTAAGAGTCCGACACGACTGAGCGACTTCACTTTCCCTTTTCACTTTCATGCGTTGGAGGAGGAAATGGCAACCCACTCCAGTGTTCTTGCCTGGAGAATCCCAGGGACGGGGGAGCCTGGTGGGCTGCCGTCTATGGGGTCGCACAGGGTCAGACACGACTGAAGCGACTTAGCAGCAGCAGCAGCACCCATGTTTGTCTGTTAGGAAGAGCCGGGAGCATGTTTGTTACAAGTTAATAAAAGGACTGTTACACTTTGAATATTATCTTAATTCTGTGCCCCACTGGAAATAAAGTTTCCAAATGGGCAAAAATTCTGTAATTTTAAATACATCTGAAGGAAATGGGTTGCTCGGGTGGAGGGTACAGAGATGAGATTTTGCTGAGCAAGGCTGCCATTCTCACACAGCCTGTTTCTATGAAGTTACAGTTTGGGCGTGAGAACCAGGCTGACCCTTAGATCTGAGCAGATAATTCAGAATCCATGAATACGGGCCAGCTCCCTAAAGAAGAGGTGGAAGTGAGGGTGGTTTAGGCAGCTCAGCAGGTCTTCAGGCCCAGATGCATCACAACCTTTGTAGGATTGTACTGTGTAGGGGCATGTCTTGGGCTTTCCACGTGGTTCAGTGGTAAAGAATCCGCCTGCCAATGCAGGAGACCCGGGTTTGATCCCTGGGCCGGGAAGATCCCCTGGAGAAGGAAATGGCAATCCACTCCAGTATTCTTGCCTGGGAATTCCCATGGACAGAGGAGCCTGGTGGGCTACAGTCCGTGGGCTTGCAAAGAACCAGGCACATCTGAGAGACTGAACAACAAACGGCATGTCCCACACCCACGAGGGTCCTGCCGACTGAAGTCCACCCTACCAAGAATCCCAGGGCTCTCTGTGTTTGGAGAATGGGCAAGGAGAAGGGAGCAGAGACGTTCCTGCAGGTCACCCAGCAACACCTCCCTGATGGCACATGGCTCTGCTATGAAATCAGTTAGGATCACAAGTTAGAAAGCCTTTGATGAAACATGGCTTCTTTTCTAAGACACAGCCCGAGGGCTCTTCCCTTTCTGGATCTGCAGAGCGATCCATCTGAAGCACCATAAGCTGACTCTGAGTTCCCACCAGCCACGCTTGGATGTCAGACAACCCGCCCAGCAACAGAGCTCATTGCCATCTCAGGCCTTCACTCCTACGGAAGTGATGTTTCAGCGGCTGTGATGTGTGCTAACAGGAAGTCAGGTCCTGGCAGGACCACCAGCATGCCTCTGTAGGTGATCATCACTGACAACATGGAATCTGGGGTCCTGGGCTGGGCGGCAGGCCACCAACGGTTGGAGGAGGTGAGGGAGGTGCTGGACCTCGGTGAACCCAAAGGACTACACACTCAAGCTCCCAGGAGCCAGTTCCCAGAGTCCAGGCAACGGGGTGGCTGCAAGAAGCAGAGACAGATGGCCGAGGTCAGCCCCTCTTTGGTGGAATGTTGGCTGATGAAGCTGGAAATGGGATCCAGGACCAGGCGCAGCCCTAGACCCAGCACTAGGAGGGTGGCCTTCGCTTGTGCCCTAGACCCAGCACTAGGAGGGTGGCCTTCGCTTGTGGTGAAGCCTAACGGGTGTGTAACAGCCTGATCCAAAGTGGTTGGCCACAACCAGCAAGGGCACCAGGCGGCACTGGGAAGGCAGCTCACGCTCCCCGGGAGGGCCCCAGCCCCTCGGGTGATGACAGAGCGCCAGACCTTTTCCTTGGTGGCTTCCACTGGCTTTCCCTGTGGCCATCGTGGCCTTTGTTTTTAATAACGGCTACACACAGTGGAAAGAAACTAGGCAACAAAGAGAAAAGCCAGAGTTGATCATTACAGAGAAACAGCAGAAAGGGCAAGGCTCCCTCCCCCACCCCATGCCAGCCCCCAGGCAGCGAAGAATGGAGGGTGGGGGGGTGAGGGCAGGGCTGGGTGCACGAGCCGCTGCTGCAGGCTGGGGACCTGAATGAGCTCTTTCAAATCAAACAGGCTTCCATGTGTCCCTGGCATCCCCCTGTCTTTTCTTCCAGAATCTGATACTGTTGCAATTTTGAGGTCATTATCCTCAGCAACGAACACCACCGTTTAGAGATAAAGAAGGAAAACCAAAAATTTAGCTCGCTTTTGCTTCCACTCAAATATTGGGACCACAGTGTCCAGAAGGTTCTTAAAAGAAGCCTGTCTGAACTAATGCTCCTGAAATTATAGGTCCTAGATTACTTTTGCATTATGATTTAAAAAGTTGAACTCTAACTAGTCTTTCTTTTCTTGCAAATGAGAAGTTTTGTTATTAACTAATATTCAATTTATCAACCTTTCCCCCCCAAAAGGTTTGTGCATGTACAGTGGCCCATTTCCCACATCCACTCCTCCTCACCTGACAGCAAGCCCTGTTGATTTCTGCCTCCAGAAGTTCCCACAAACTGCCCCATCTTCTGGGCTCCCACCCAGACCTTTTCTTGCCCCTTTTCGTTTTTCTTGCCCCTCTTCTTGCAGGAACATCAAGACCAGGAGGTGTTCCTGCTATTGATCTCCACCCCCTCCAACTCACACTCTCTATTGTTGCCAGATTGTTACTTAAAAAAAAATTTTTTTTTTGATGTGGACTATGTTTAAAAGCTGTATTGAATGTTTTTATAATATCTTTTCTGTTTCCTATTTTGGTTTTTTGGCCGAGAGAGGCAGGTAGGATCTTAGATCCTGGACCAGGGATTGAACTCACACTCCTTACATTGGAAGGTGAAGTCCTGACTACTGGCCGGCAGAGAAATCCCTCAGGTGGTCACTTAAACCACAGACCTGATCACGTCACGTTCCTGCAGGAGAGCTGTGAGTCCTCACCGGGAGCACAGGCCCTGCATCCCAACAGCACATCCTGGACACACCTTCCATCCGCCTGTGGCTGGATGCTCCCTTGCCTGCAAGTTCTGTTTCTGCCTGGCAAACTCCTATGCTTCCTGCAAGACCTGGCCCAAGGCATCTCTTCTAGAAGCTCCCCTGTCTCCCCAGGGGAAAGTACTCCCCTGACACTTGTGACCTCACTGCACTGTCCAGAGTCTGTGCTGGGCTTCTCCACCAGCCATGGGCTCCTCCGTTTCGTCGGCCCAGGGTCCTCCACATGCCTGCATTTGATCTACACTTGTCACCAGCACGAGTGTCTATGTGGAGAGGGCAGTTGCTAAGTGCAGTTACAAAGAAGAAACAACCCCTAAAGCTTCGTTTCCAAGAACACTGGCCAGCTGAGATGGAAGATTCCGGTGGGTCTACTTCAGACGGAGTCACGCTCTTGCTGTCCCAAGAGGTGACACAAACCCTCCGCCTTGTCTCTTGTGGGATGGTTGAGTTTCTCCCTAACGACTTCTGCCCTGAATCTGGGCCAAGGTCAAGTGCTCCTGCGGCCCCTTTAAATTTGGCTGAGGAGGTCTAAATTTAAACCTCTTGTCCCTTATACTTCCCTTTGCTCCAAGATATACCATTTCATGTGAACACTACAGAGTCATCTTTAAGAAAGAAATCCACTCCTTAAATAAACAGATGTTTCATTTCATTTAACAAGTGTTAAATTGATCTAGCATCAACAAGCAACTGTTGATTTCAATTTAACGTCATTCGTAAACGAATTAACAAATCACAATAATTTAACATCATGCCTACTGCCTGGGCTGGTGCTCTGTACGCAGAATTATGACTGTTCTTGACTGTAAGCTAAATTCAGAGATTTGTATTCCTGAAAATGTGAAGACTTGCTTTTTCTCTTCTATGCTAAATGTTTCTTTTAAAGTGAATTTTAAAAATCACTTTGAGAGCTCTTTATCACCATATCTAGTGCGACCTACCCCCAGTACTTCGAGGAAGAACTAAAAACAATAAACAGGAAAGGGCAGAAGACCCCAACAACAGAAGGAGGAGAGGTGTAATTTGGGGGTTAGGATATGCAGTGCCAACCCTGAGCCTCAACAAATGGCCCCCTCCTCCCCCTAGAGTTCTGGTTTGAGATTTCTAAATAAGTATCTCTTTAAAAAATAAAATAAGAAATATATGCTCATTGTGGAAAAACAGAAAATATGGGTAATACGTAAACAGCAAAAATGCACAATTGACAAAAATTCTTACATCTAAGCTAACCAGGGTTAACATTCCAGTAGAGATTATTTCAGACCTTCATATGAACATATTCTAGATAGCTACATAAACCAATATTGGGTCAACCAACATATACTGTTCTGAATAATGACCTTTAAGTTGGAGTCTATTTTTAGTCCCCTTTGGCGGGGAGAAGACTTGCTATATTCACTCCCCTTAGTATCTGAGTGCCCAGTGGACCTTCAGGCTTAAGCCTCCCTACTCACCATGCTTTTTGCAGCGGGGACCCCATCACGGCTTTTCCCTGGGGGTGCTCTCGGAGCCTGGGGACCAGGCATGCTGGGGCAGCTCCAGGACAGCCAGGAGCGGAGCTCAGAGTCTCACGACCACACTGGACCTGAGCAGCCCGGACCCACGCTGGCCGTTCCCGGCGGCGGTGCGGTCAGAAGCGCTGTTCCCAGCCGAGGGCTCCGGCGCTTCACGCCTGCGCCCGCCCTCTGTCTCGGGGACTCGCTCTATCTGCCAACTGGCTAGAAAGTTGCGAGTTCTCTCTCCTTCCTCCTCTCTCTGTGTCTCTTTCACCCTGCACTTGGTCTGACCTGCCGAATTCTAAAGAGCTTCATGCCACCAGGGTCTGTTTTCAGCAAATGTGACTTGTAGGGTTATCCTTGCACAAAACGGGTCGCCCAGCACCTCTTATTGCAGAAGCTTCCATCAACTGTTGGCCACTCTTACCCAAGAGAACAGTGCGGGCCAGTGAATGGAAAGCAGCGCACGGTCCCCTGAGTGTCCTGTAGGAAGTGGCTCCGGAGAGATTGCTTTTTATAGCGCGCACAGGTGGCCGGTACAAGCCCCTTGCGTGAAGGCGGAGGGCTGGGCTCCCCGCCTTTGCAGAGAGAAACCTTGTCAGAGAGAATAGAAGCTCGAACGAATGATTTGCTTTCTTCTGGGGACTTGAGACCATTAACTAAAATTTTTTTCTTGGTGAAGATTCCCTTTTTGACTGAATCCATTCATATTGGTGATCAACGGAACACACGGATTTCTTAAGACTTTTCTATCAGTAACTGTGAGAGTCATTTAGAAGATCCTTCAGAATTTAAGGTTTAGTGGCAACCTGAAAGATAACCTGGTCCCAAAACCCGATTTTCTAAAGAAACTAAGATTCAAAATCGATAATTTCTTCAAGTTCTCCGAGCAGCCTGACTTGGTTTCGGCTGCTTCCATTTACCTGGATGTTATATCATACTCTCTGCTCTTGCGTGCATCAGTGGGATTTGGTACAAAAGTAGCATTTCATGTCAGGGCAGTTTGCGTGCTGCACGTAAGAATGGGCATGAAGCAAGGGCAGACCCCAGCATGTTCATCTTTGCAGAGATTTACACCCATTATGGTAGTTTCAAAGTACAGAGAATCTATTAAAAATTTAAAATGAAACCCCTGTCTTAAGGTTGCATATTGAAAGCATCATGCCTCATCCATCTGAAAGTGAAAGTCGCTCAGTTGTGTCTGACTCTTTGCGACCCCATGGATTATACAGTCCATGGAATTCTCCAGGCCGGAATACTGCAGTGGGTAGCCTTTCCCTTCTCCAGGGGATCTTCCCAACTCAGGGATCGAACCCAGGTCTCCTGCATTGCAGGCGGATTCTTTACCAGCTCAGCCACAAGGGAAGCTCAAGAATAATGGAGTGGATAGCCTATCTTTTCTAACTGTATTTAAATAATGTGGGAGGAACAGAGCGATGTCAGTGCAGGAAAAGAGAAACTGAAGTGAGCCAGGACAGGTTCTCAGCTCTGAGAGTTAAACAGCTTCCCTTCCAGCCTTTTCCACACAGCAGTATTAATGAGATTATCAATTGAAAGGTGAGGTCATCTGAATTGGCCTTTGGCCAATTAGTCTGTGTCCGCGTCTATTCTGGGATAGCATTTCCACCCTGTTCTTTGGGGCTCGACCCCCATGTTGGGGGGAACAGCTGTTCTCCGACCTGGCTGCCGCTGTGGCTGGTCGGGTCTGGCTGGGCCAAAAGTTTTTCCACACGGCTCCTGGCCACAGTCAATTCTTGCTCCAGGAATAACCACCAGACCCAAAATAGGACTGAGTTGTTTCCCATGAAATTTTCAAATGGTCTGAGGAGAAGACACCACCTCGTGGGCCTAGGGACTTTGAGAGGGAAAACTGGGGGTGTTTCAAGGGACCACTGACCCCCATGTGTTCTGGGGAAGAAGAGGGAGCCAGTCTGCAAAGGGGAAAGCAGAGTGAGGCAGACACAGGGTGGGCGGGAGATGGGGGACCCTCACGGCAGCGGCTGGTCCCAGGGGGCCATGTGCTTTCTGATTTGGGGTTTTGTGAGTCTCTCCAGAATCCTCCCGCCAAATTGACATCTCTAACTCCCATAAATCATCATACAAGTAGAGGGGTTAGGGCTGATTTCTACAAAATTATCTCCTTTGTACAAGGAATTCTCTGCCAAAGGAGATGTGGGAGACAAAACAAATCAAAAACTTTTCTTTGTGAGTTTAAACAACAACAACAAAAAAAGGCATAACCTACAGATGGCATTTACTCAGACAGCGGTTAATCACTTTTTACAACCTTTTCCTAAGGGTGCACAGTTTGGTGAATGTGAATTCACAGGGAGAAAGCGGCCACCTACACCCCAAGGAGAGAGATCATTGTGAGAAAACAAGCAGGCACCTTGATCTTGGACTTCGAGACTCTTCTGTTGTCTGGGGTAGTCTGTTGTGGCAGCCGAGCAGATTAGCCCACCATCCAATCTGATCTGCTTCCTGGGCCATCTTTCTGCAGGGGAGCCAGGCTGTTGGCTTTGTGGGTTCTTGGACGCGCCTTGCTTACCCCTAGGCCTGATTTACGAGCCGGGTCTGTTATTTATACCACCCGTTCCGTGGCATGTTTTGTCATTTGGTTAGGCATGACCTTTCCCCCTTCCCCTGACTGCTATACAAAGATGCAGGAGGTTTGACAAGCAGCCCCTGGTCGCTTCCTCTCGGTCCCTGCTGGGTTTCGTCGGGCACCACAGCTGTTATTCTATTCACAACTCACTTGAGTGTGGTCCTTCGGTCTGTTGTCTGTCCTTAAATGTTTCTTATCCAAACCCTCAGGGTGCTGTCTCCATTTCTAGTGGCCCCTGCATGCATACTTAGTGGCTCAGTCTTGTCTGGCTCTTTTGTGCCCCCAAGGACAGCAGCCTGGTGGGCTACAGCCCATGAGGTTGCAAAAAGTAGGACACAACTGAGCGACTAACACATTCACCGCCTCCTTGACCTGCTGCATTTCCCAGGACGGGGACCACGCTGTATTTCTCCCTGTAGGTCCAGGCTCAGCAGGACGCCTGGCATTTTGTAAATACACATTTTTTTTTGGAAAGAATGGATGGATGTATAGTCTCGAGGGAATTGAAATTCCAAGTTTATAGACACAAAGCCATAATTTCTGACAATTTAAACATTACCAAACTTTCCTACCCAAAGGGTAGGATTTCTCTCTTGATGCAAAGCTTTGTGAGTAAACTGGATTAGACATCATTCTTGGAGCAGGCTTGCTCGACACGCTGATTCTGACTCTTCACCCTGGTCTCTCTGCCTGGCTCCTTTCACAGGGCACACACTCCTGTCAAGGTTAGAGTCATTTACAGAATCTGGGATCAGCCATCTTCCCAAGTGTCACACAGAAGAACAAGCTAGTTTGTGACTCCTCGTGTGCTAAAAAGGAGATGAGGTTTTCTTTTGTGGTTGGAGAGAGGCGAGAAGGTTTGGGTGGAGCAGTCTGGGTGGAGAGGGGAGGTGGGCAGCAGGATGACTGTGGGGACTCTTTTAGAGATAGATGCTGCAGGATGATGCTGGTGGGTCAGTGGAGCTGCTTCCTGTGACCTGCAGCCTGGGTGATGTGGCTTTTGGAGGCACAGAAGCTCAATCCCCCAAAGAATTAGGGGACCATTCTCTTCCCTACCTACCCCATGCTCAGCTCAGCAGCAGGAAGCCCAAGGCATAGGATGTGGGAGGTAGAGATGCCATCACATACTTGTGGGCAGAACAGACTGGGGTGAGAGGCAGAGAGGGGTCCTGAAGCCTGGGTCCCGATGCCTCTAAGCCTCACTCTTCAGCTCAGTGAGGCCCTGGGACACTTCCCGTCCACAGAGGATATAATTCTTTTGTTTTTCAGGAAGGTCAAATGGTCTTAGAGATACATCTGATAAGGCCACATCACTTCACAGCATCTTGAGCTGCCTGCATTTTAGGTATGATTGTCCCTGTGTCTCCTCTCCTCCCGCGCCTCCTCCAAGGGTCCCGTCTCTCATAATTAACAATAGTGTCTTTCCCTTCCTCCCAACTCCTTTTTCATTTATTTTCCCACCCCTCAGTTTAGTACTTTCTTCTCTCTCGTCTTGCATGTTAGTTTTGTTTACTCCTCTAGGTTATGAGGGAGTCTTGAGGATGGGGACCCGGTTTCACTTTTTTTTCTCAATGCTCAAAACATCTAGCACATTCTGAGTGCATTCGGGCTCAGTTGCTCTGTCGGGTCCGATTCTTGGCTACCCTATGGACTGTGGGCCGCCAGCACACAGCTTGATGTTCCAGAATTGTCTGTTCCCTGAACAAATGGCTGGAAACAGAGTGATTTTCTACAGAGATGGGTCCTGCGGCAGGAAGCAGGGCGTTTCCTTCTATCCGAGTACAGCCACCCGTGGTATTCTTTGCTGTTCAGTCGCTAAGTCCTGTCTGACTCTTTGTGACCCCATGGACTGCAGCACGCCGGGCTTCCCCATCCTTCACCATCTCCCGGAGTTTGCTCAAACTCAGGTCCATTGAGTCGATGATGCCAGTGGTGGTACTTCGTTATTTTCAAACAAGGCATCCTTTTCTCCTTCTACTGTACACGCTCTTTGCTCCTTGAAGACTATAGTGAATTTTTCAGAGAGAATCTCTGAGAGCTATCAACTCAGCTTATGCTGGAAGTGTATTCAGAGTTCTGTGAATAACTTTTTCTTCTCACATATCTTTTTCTTGCACATAGTAGGCATCTGATGGAAGTTTGTTCAATAGATGCAAATAAATAGAAACTAATAAAAAGAGAAAACTCTTCTTCTTTGAATAAAAGGATGAACTCGGATTATCTGAACCCCTATCATGCTTAGTTGGGTTGAACTACCCTCTCTTTGGAACCCATGGGACGAGAAGGCGGAACAGTTGCCAACAAGCTCTGCTCCCCCAAGTGGAGGCGGCGGCGGCTTCCCGGCTGTCTCGTCTTTACCGTGATGGCTCTGTACTTCCCCCTGGTGGCAGATCTGTGCACTGCAACTGATGCTTCTGAGGTCCAG